GGGCTGCCTAGTTAAATGGAGATGAGAAGAAAAATGTCCCTGAAACTGCAGCATGGGGAGACAGAAGGATCCAAATCCTGGTGGAGGGACTCAACATCGAATAGGAGGCGGCTGTCCTAGTACTGAAAAGGGAGAGAAGGTGGGAAAAATTGTCATGGTCTGAAATACATTTGTGGCAATGAAAGTTTTCAGAGACAAGAAATTGGGGAGTTCATGGCTTGTAATATCTTCTTGCCTCTTTTTTTTCTTTAAGATTTATGTTATTTTTAGAGAGAGAGCAAGAGGGGGAGAGAGGAGAGCAAAAGAATTCCAAGCACGTTTCACACTCAGTGCAGAGACCCACATGGGGCTCAATTCCACAATCCTGGGATCATAACTTGAACTGAAATGAAGAGTCAAACACTTAACCAGCTGACATCCAGGCTCCCCTATCCTCTTGCCACTTAAGAGGAGGCAGTATCTTGGGTTGAGTAAGGATGAAAATTAATGGTTAATACCCCGGTTGTATTACACAATTGTAGACTATCAACCCGCTAACTATGAGGTAGTGACTTTGAACAAATGTCAGTGGTAAGAAGCCATAGCCATGCCACTGTAGAGTCTTAAAAGATATTCAAAGACTTTCTCTTTGTGCACGAAAACAGTTAAGTTTTATAAGCCACCTTATGCTTCTATCCATCTTCTTTCTATACATAAAGCAAATTTTCTTTGTATGTAGTATTCATGAGATTATAATTTCCAAAATGGTTTCCCCCCAAACTCTTATGGTCAAAGAACTACTATCGGAAGGGGGGAGAGAAAGAAATTAAGTGTGTGTGTATCTCATTTCTCTGAGAGAAACACCAGAGACCACCAAGAACATACCTATAGTTCAACACGTTGAGTTTATTACTCATTGCAGAAAGGAGAATGGACATTGTAGGATATCATGGGGCATCTCAGCAAGGTTAGACCTACATAGAATTTGGGCTTTGGTTGGATAATTCCAGGGAGGATTGAGGAAGCAGGGACTTGCTCTGTATTGGGTGCTGTTAGAAGGAAGGACAATTCTATGAGTATCTCATACTCATTAAATCTTATAAGGAACACAGAGTAGATTGAGGAAAAAAGCTATAATTGGTAAAGAAGTAGCAGTCATTCCTTGAGTTGAGAGGAAGATGTCTGATATTTTGTGGGCTTGTTTTTGTCACTTTACCATAGCCTGAGTGACTTTGATATATTCTGTGAGCTTATATACCAGGGAAGAACATAGGTCTGTCTTAGCATCAGACCAGCTTGTAATAATGTCAAGATTGCTGTTAATGTCAGATCTGTTTTTGATGTTAAGGACTTCTTTATTTTTCTATATCCGTATATGATACATGTTTACATACACATTTATATCTTCGTATAACTCTTATGCGATGCTTATCTTTTCCTTGTTTGGGTGAGTGTGTATTGGCAAAAGTTTAAAAAATCCTTTCAGAATATAGTATTTTATCAATATATCAAAACTCATTACTTTAGTATATACTTTTTCAGGTGTATCAGTAGCATAAAATGCACTGCCATTTGTAATGTTATTGGGGAATCAGCAGAAAACACATGATTTTTGAACTGATCCAAGTAGGAAGTAGGTGGTGGTAAGGGAACACGGAGTGGATATTTTGAGAAATATTTAGAAAATAGAGAGGACAGAACTTGATGTCAGAATGTAGTATGTAGGGAAACCAGAAGGGTGAAGAATGATGTCTAGGTTTTAGCTAAGTAGTTTTAGCAGGAAGTGATGTTCCTCACCAGGATGGGGAGGTAGGGGGAAGTGACAAGTTGGCAGAAAGGTAACAAATCTTAAACCAGAATCCCTACAGAAGCATGAATCTGGTTGAGGGGAGGCTGATTGCTTCTAAGCAATCTTGTAGATGCCTAGTACCTAACAGAATAATAATTTATTGTTTGATTAACAGCAAGAGCTGTAACTGGCCAAGGAACCAAAATCTTAAATTCTTTTGTCACCATATTCTCCTGATAGGCAAATCTATGGAAGTGACAAAATTACAATCAGGAGATTGTTGCAAGAGTGGGGACATAGCAAGGGAAGCTAGCCTAGGTATCTCAGTAGCTGTTGTTCTCAAAGTATGACATCTGTACTATAAGGCTTTATGTGGCCAGTATACAGAAACACAAGTGTGACTTCAAAACCATGTCTTAAACCTTCGTCCTGAAATGTTGTATGCCAAGGATGCCAAAGTGGATATCTTAATATGTCAGCATTTAGCATGTGAGCTGGCACATAGTAGGTACACTTGCATACTGTGAGGAAGAGTCTAAGCCTAACAGAACACTCTGTGGACTGTTATTTGTCTGCATGCGTATGTGGAAGGGATGAGGCTCTGTCTAGCAGGTATTTGCTGGTTCAAAACTTTATATATTATAGAACTGATCTACAAGTTTTTGTTTGTTTTTTAAATAAAAACATGCCCAGTGTGGAGCCCAATGCGGGACCTGAACTCACAACCCCAAGAGCTGAGATCAAGAGTCAGATGCTTAACCAACTGAACCATCCAGGAGCCCCTGATCTACAAGTTTTTTTTTTTTTTTTTTTTATGTTTATTTTTGAAAGAAAGTGTGAAGGGGCAGAGAGAGGGAGACAGAGGATCCAAAGCAGGCTTTGCGCTGTCAGTGCTGAGTCTGATGTGGGGCTCGAACTCCCAAACCGTGAGATCATGACCTGAGCTGAAGTCAGATGCTTAACTGACTGACTGAGCCATTCAGGTACCCCTACAAGTTTTTAATAGAAACATTATGAAGCGAAAAAGGGAGATAAGGAGGGAATTAAAATGTATGCGTAACTACACATACACAAATTATTATTTTTTTAAATGTTTTATTTATTTCTAGGAGAGAGAGAGAAAGACAGCGTGAGCAGGGGAGGGTCAGAGAGAGAGGGAGTCACAGACTGAAACAGCCTCCAGGCTCTGAGCTGGCAGTCAGCACAGAGCCCAATGTGGGGCTCGAACTCACGAACCGCGAGATCATGACCTAAGCAAAAGTCGGACGCTTAACCGACTAAGCCACCCAGGCGCCCCCACATACACAAATTAAAAGACAGACTTCCTCTACCTGTTTTCATTCTGGCGTCCTGAACCTGTATAAAGAGGCAAAATACAGATGAATTTAAAAGACAGCTTTCCTGGTTGATATGTCAACTGTGCAGGGACCAGACTGATCAAGGAGATCTGACATACTAAACTTGCTCTTGCTTTGTTTCTCCTTGCCATTGTTTTTTCCCTTTATACTGGGAAAGGCTTTTCTTCAGCTGACTTCTCTCTGCCCTTAAAAAAAAAAAAAAAAAAAAAAAAAATCCCGTCTCTTGCTGCAATTTCCTTTTCTTTGACTTAATATTTTGAATCAGGGCATACAATTAAATTTTTATTGTAGGTAAAGATAGAACTTTTCAATATGAGACTTGCATTCTCCATAAAATTAAAGCAAAATCATACGTGTTTATTTTTGCTCATAAATACATGCATGTGATATATAGTTCCATTTTATTAAATTTATGTGTGTCTTTGAAATTACATACCATTTCCCCATATGATTACACTGTGAAAAGTGATTTAGATAAACCTACAAAGATGAAAACTCTCTAACTGAATGGGGATGGTTGGGCTAGCTTTCAGATTACTGGTATGGAAACAGCGTTAAAGCCTATGGCTGGTTCCCTAGTTGGACAGTGACCTAATTATACTGTTAAATAGAAGATGTTACTCCTCATTTTAGACCCTTCTTACATGCCTGATCTGTTACTGAATTGTTCATGTGCCTTTGGGAGTCTTTAAGTTCTCCATTAAGCAGGATTTTAAGAACATCCTAATAATAGTTAAATATTTATATTAATAGGTTTCCCTTTCACTATTTTTATTATTTTTGTTTTAAGCATGAATATTAAGACTGATGTCATAATTATTAAGAGTGAGATTGTTACACTGAAAATGTGAAAAAAATACTGGATTCTTTTTGAGTTAGAAGGAATCCTAGAGAAAATTTTAGAGTGTAATTCTCTTACCTTGTATGTCAAAAAGGTGAGAATACAAGGATTGGGTGACTTCTGAGTTTCATGAAAGAAAAGTTATGATTTTAAACATATTATTATGAATTATGATTTTCAACATAATTATAAGCATTTTTCAACCTATAATGTTGGAACTTAAAATTAATGAACATTGACTTGGTAAAGTAATCAACAAACAGTATAGTTTTTATATTTTACCTAAGAATTAGGCAGAAGGCTGCATGAATAATGAACACATCATTTTAAATGCTTAATATCCTTTCCCATTAAGGAAAATATAGAAAAGGCTGTCTATTTGAACTAATTATTCTAAATTCATATTCTTTAATAAAGAAAAAAATGCCTGAAATATATTTCTGTGAGCTGTCAAAACTCTTCCTTCATTTTTGCTGTACTTCATTAATTGAGTAAATGATCCTATGACTAAATATATTTTAGGCAGCTATGTGAAGATGGAGTAGTCATTCTTCAATTAGGACTGAAATCTGTAATTGGAAAAAGAAAAATAGTTTTATTTCCTTGTGTGAATATATTATTTCTTCCAGAATGAGATTTAAAAAAATTAAAGTGGTTAATAGATTTTGCAATTAGAAAGTACTCTAGAATTCATCTGATTCAACAACTTGAATTTATAGACAATGATCTTGAGAACCAAAGTGAATAAGCATAGTTATTCAGGATGACATATTTGATCAGAATAAAACCCAAGTCTCTCTTGTTTCATTTGTCCTGTGCTTTTCACTTTGTAAGTTGTGTTATTCTCCCTCTCAAAACCAATTGAGATGTTTAAATAGGGTGCCAGAATGCCAAAGGAAAAGGATGTGAATCAGGTTTCAGCAAACCTGTTAGGTTTAAGAGTTCACTTAAGGGTCTCCAGCATTTGTTCTTAAGATACAGTGCTTCTGTAGTAAGGATAACTATGCTAATAAAACTGATTTTTGCTTTTCAGGTGAGAGTTACGTGTGTGCATCAAATGAACCATTTCGTAAAGTTGATTACACCAAAAATATTAATCCAAACTGGTCTGTGAACATCAAGGGCGGGACATCCCGAGCCCTGGCTGCTCCCTCCTCGGTGAAAAGTGAAGTGAAGGAGAGTAAAGATTTCATCAAACCGAAATTGGTGACTGTGATTCGAAGTGGAGTGAAGCCTAGAAAAGCCGTGAGGATCCTTCTAAATAAGAAGACTGCTCATTCCTTTGAACAGGTCTTGACAGATATCACGGAAGCCATTAAACTAGATTCAGGAGTGGTCAAGAGGCTCTGCACACTGGACGGAAAGCAGGTAAGATGTTTACTAGCCTCCCAGCTCTCCATCTTACTTTTAAAGTCTCCCTGTATCATGGTAGTTATATATTTGACAATAAGAAGTTCAGAGTCTGCTAGAAGACTCTAATTTCACTCATATGTGGAATCATATGATATTGTCTTCCTCTGACTGGCTTATTTCACTTAGCATAATACTCTCTAGCTGTAACCATATTATTGCAAGTGGCAAGATTTCATTCTTTTTTGTGGCAGAATAATATTTTATTGTATATGTATACCATATTTCTTCATTTATTGATAGACACATGTTGTTTCCATATTTGGCTGTTGATAATGCTGCTCTAAGCATCAGGGTGCATGTATCCCTTTGAATCAGCATTTTTGTATTCTTTGGGTAAATAACCTAGTAGTGTGATTGCTGCATCTTAGGGTAGTTCTATTTTTAACTTTTTGAGGACCCTCCATGCTATTTTCCAGAGTGGCTGCACCAGTTAGCATTCACATCAATAGTGCAAGAAGGTTCCCCTTTCTCTGCATCTTCACCAATACCTGTTGTTTCTTGTGCTATTAATTTTAGTCATTCTGACAGGTATGAGGTGGTATCTCATCATGGTTTTGATTTGCATTTCCCTAATGATGAGTGACGTTGAGCATCTTTTCATGTGTCTGTTGGCCATTTGTACATCTTCTTTGGAAAAGTATCTGTTCATGTCTTCTGCCCATTTTTTTAATTGGATTAGTCATTTTTGGGGGGTTAGGGAAATGTAAACTTCTGAGGGAAAAGTAGAAGATGAAGAGGCTTCCTACATTAAGTGGAATGTTTTCTAAGAATAGGAACATCTATTGACTAGTAGAGTCCTTATGGGTTTGGTAAATTGTAGGAGTCCAAATTAAAGATATTTAACATTTTTAGAAAAGCACCTTTCCTCTCCACCTATATATAATTTTGAAAATGCATTTCAAAAAAGTACTTTGATAGGAATGTTTATGTGAGTTTCATAGAGCACCTTGCAGGTAATTAATCAGCATTTCTGAAAAATATACACAAATTACACAGGAAAACGAAAGCCAAATCATGGTGACCATATACCAGAAAATCTAATGGGCTAAAGAAGAAAAATTGGGAATGGTGCCTAGGTGGATCAGTTGGTTAAGCGTCCAACTCTTCAGCTCAGACCATGATCTCATGATTCATGAGATCAAGATCTGACAGGGGGGAGCCTGCTTGGGATTCTCTTTCTCCCTCTCTCTCTGCCCCTCTTTTACTTGCGCATACTCACCCTCTCTCAAAATAAATAAATAAACTTAAAAAAAGAAGAAAACTTCAGCAAATCTGAAGGATGCATGAATGCTGAGTTTTGCCACAATCAGATTATCATTCCTAAAAAGAAACATGTAGCTTCTGAAATATATTTTTTCCTCATTTCAATGAAGTTAAATTGTTTGTGTTTACATTATATTGAACATTATACTTTCTAGCATTCAATTTGTTTCTTCATTCCATTTTATTTCTTCCCTGTAACACACTTAATTTATTCTCAAGTTTTTAGCTTGTATAGTGCTGAAAATGAAACACTGGAGCAGTGCCTTCTGGAAAAATGCAAGAAGGTAGTTTTCTAATTTCCTAACACCAGATCTAGTTAGCTGATTGTTTCTTGAAGCATTAACAAAATTTAAACACTAGGTTCTAAAAATTCCAGTAGACTATAATGAGTTAATAATGACTTTTCTGATTGATTAAATTGGCGATTGGAAGACATGACACTTCATAGCATGAACCTATCTGCCCAAGATAGGTTCACAGTATGAATAGAAACAGACACTTTACAAATTGAGTTAATAGCATAGCACATCACAATATTCATTCTGCAAGTGAGTAAAAATGAATTAAACTAAAATAAAGATGTAAGTTAAATAAATAATTCTTGGTTGACAGAGGATGATGAGAAATAGAGAAACGTTTAAGACCCCTAACAAAAAGAAAAAAGAATCATAAATCTGCCAAATTAAAAAAAAAAAACTGAATGGTATATAAACAGTAAACGCAGATAAGATTTTTAAAATTGAAACTCAGATTAGGAAATCTCCAAATAAATGTTTTTCAGGGAAAATGGAACTGAAATCCAGAAGTTGAACATCTTATTGAAATGGATAATCATTGAAATTTTAATAATTATTTAAAAAATGATTTCAAAGAGGCTCCAGGCTAGAAATAACAGTATGTAAAAATGATAACTAAAGCACAAGCAACCTCAAATTACCCACATATTAAGTACCACACTGCTAAGAGCTGGAATTAATGACAGGAATTAAAGAACGGATCACTGTCAAGAAACCTGTTTATACATGAGATCTAGGGGATAAAGCATAAAGGGGCATCTAATCCCAGAACAGTTGCAAAGGTATTTGACAAAATACAGAATTGATAACTTAGTTAAAGATTTAGTAATAGGGGTGCCTGGTGGCTCATTTGGTTGAGCATCCAACTTCAGCTCAGGTCATGATCTTGCGGTTCCTGAATTGGAGCCCTCTGTCAGGCTCTCTGCTGTCAGTGGGGAGCCGGCTTCAGATCCTCTGACCCCTTTCTCTCTCTCTGCCCCTCTCCTGTGTGCATGGAGATGTGTTCTCTCTCTCTCTCTCTCTCAAAAATTAACATTTATTTAAAAAAAATTAGTAATAAAAATGGAGAGTGAAATCTCTAATACACTTCTAAAAAAATACCGTCTGAAACAACAAGCTTATGTAGTTGTAAACAAATGAGATATTAGAAGGATGTCTATGATAGTCAGGTATGAGGTAATTGCCTGACAGCACCAGTATTCAGCATTCTTCTATATATTCTTCCTAGTTTTTATTTATATTTGAATTGCAATTTCAGTAAGAACCTAAATGAGATTTTTTTTTTTCTGGTAGGGGAAGAATACCTAAGTGATTTCAAAAGCTGATCTGGAAAAAGAGGCTGAAAAATTTTGGAAATAAAATGGGCTCTTGTGCTACCAGATATTAAATCATCATCCTGATTCCATACCAAAAATAAATTCCAGGTGTTTTAAAAATCTAGATGTCAAATGAAACAAAAGAACTAAAAGAAAATATGTCAATAGATTGAAATGGGAAAGATATTCCTAAGCATAAAAATTGTGGGAAAGTCACAAGGGGAAAGGTTGGCTGGGTAACGTATACAATAAAAATTCCTAGATGTCATTAGCAAGATTTAGGTCCTTTATATTGAGTCATAGTAGTTGAATATGAACAAATGACATTGCAATGGCAAGATAGAAGACAACAACTTGAAAAGATAGAATTATAAATACTGAGCATAAAAGAGTTCAAGCTCACTAAAAAATGAATTAAAGCAATGAGATAGTATTTTTGATATTTAAAATGGACAGATTTTTAAAAGAGAATGTTTACTTTTTAAATATGCAGTGAATTGTCATTGTCAAAGAATGTTGGAAGTATAAATTTTATAATCTTTATGGAAAACAATTTGTTTTATACAACTTTACAATATTCTTCACTATTTGAATTAATAAATTAACTTCTAGGAATTTATCCAAATTAACCTGAGATGCAAACATAATTATACATAAGAACTTTCATTTCAGCGGTAAAAGCAAAGGATTCAAAACCATTTAAAATCTCTAATGTGGAAAAGAGCTAAATAATAATGCCATAGAATTAATATGTAGTGGACACTGAAAACTATATTTGAGGGAATATTTATAAAGATCTGGGAAAATGTTGAGTGGAAAAAGCAAGAAAAAAAAACCCTCTGTAGTATGTTTTCAATTTTGTATAAGAAAGAAAAGTAGAGGAAGATTTTTTAAAACTAATTCAGAAGGAAACACGATTATAGTTGCCATCAGAAATCCAGTATATGCTATTCCAATTTCTAAGCAGACTTTCTCATGTCTGCTCAGAAGCAAAAATTTAAGGACTGAGAAGGAAAACAAAGACTGATTTCAATCAGTTGTAAAAATGAAAACCTTATAAGTTAATCCTTGAAATTTTAGCATGTGACTATAAAATGTTACATGAATCATTTTTGTCACTATTTATGTTTTATAGAACTTACAGCATTATTTCCCATGTGCAAAGAAAAAATTATCTTTAAACTTTCAAATAAAATACTGCTTTGGAAAAATTATAGATTTTACTTTTGATAGACACAATTTTTGGGTATTATTTTCAGAGTGCCAGGTATCCTTAAAAGCCATAGTTTCCTTGGCACACTGATTCAGCACCTGAACTATAGGTTGACTTGCCATTTAAAACTTGAAGTCTGAGTTTTGGTTGGCACATTTATTTCTTGCTTTGAAAAAGTGTAGGAAATTTGTCTTCTGCTTAAAGTTAATGTAAATCTTTGGTCAGTGTTCATTTTGATTTTATTTTATAAAATTATTTCTTTTTAAAAAATTTACTTATTTTGAAAGGAGAGAGGGGAGAGGGGCAGAGAGAGAGAGAGAGAGGAAAAGGGAAAATCCTAAGCAGTCTCCATTCTGTCAGCACAGAGCCTGCTTGGGGCTTGATCTCATGAACAGTGAGATCATGACCTGAACTGAAATCAAGAGTCAGATGCTTAACTGACTGAGCCACCCAGGCACACCTATAAAATGATTCTCTATGAGTATGTAAAACCATCTGTTCTCTGAACATTTTCAAGAAAAGGACAGCTTTGCTTAGGTGAAGAGAAAGGAATCGAAAGGAACTAAGATCTGTTAATAAGTTGTCCCCACACAAAATTTTAGGCTCTCTGCCTTAACTGGTTACTTCCTACTCAGATGTGCTGTTTTTATCTTACATTAATCTGATATTTAACACAAGGATAGAGGTTAATAGTTTATAGGCAGTTCATCATGAACAGTCACTGATCTCATCCTGACACCTATGCTAGAGTCTTAAGGGGCCCCGGTTATCTTTTATGGGCTTTGAAGGGTTTCCTGATTACAGTGTCATGCGCTGATAGCATTTTTGTTAAAACAATGTCTTCCATCTTCCATCAAAATGGACCAT